GGCCTAGTATCCGTCCGAAGTGAATCCAACGAAACAGCTTCAAAAATAGTGCTAAAGCTGCTAAAGCCTACCCCGCACCATCCAAGCTTCTACCTTCCTGAAATCCGAAACTACGCCTCGAGACCCCTGTCGCACTAAAATCCCTTTTTAACCGGTCTCCAAAGGCACCGGACCTTTGTGTCGCCAAATCCTCGTGCAGCGCAGAACTGCTTTCCTGAAGACAGGACACGATAGTCTCAGAAAATTGATGTTTGGCCGCTGCAGGGGCAAGTGCGCAGGGGCTTCGAGGGGCTGCGCATGCCATCATGCATCATCATGCACAGCAAGTCACACCATCGGAGTTTCGTCACGACATCCCGGTCGCTAGGACAACTAGGAGACATTAGAGAAGCTTGTCTTATTTTCTCGTCATGACGTGGTCCTTTGTTTATCGCTCCTATGGCGGTGGCCGCCAGGATTGCACCACCGGCCAGTGTTGGCGCAGTTGTCTCGCACTTCTCGTCATGTCCTTGTGTCTGAACCATTTGGAGTGCCTGCTATTCCCGCCAGTTTTGGCATCCGCCCGGCGATGCGAAGCAGATGCGCTTCACATCGAAGGTGAAGGCCTGCGAATCTTTGGGTTTCGTCCCTTGAAACATCACTTGAAAAATCCCACAAACTTCCGAGGCCGATGCCTGGGCGTTGTCAGCTGGGGTGCACCAGGCCTGGAAAGCTAGACTTCATTTTACTGGGGACTGTCGGTGTTCCTTGCTTCAGCCTCCTCTGGAACTTCGGGAACAAGCTCGAGAGCAGGGCCTTCCTCGGTTGTGTTGTGTCCCGTAATGTTTCCGTGCGTCTGTTTGCAGGGTCGTCGAGGGCTATGTCATTCTCTCCAAGGCGAAAAAAATCAAGGAGAAGTGGGAGGTCCTGCTAGCCTCCGTGCCGAGCTGCTCAAAGGCTACTCCTTCAGCAAAGCCGTGTACGCAAAGCTCTTCGAGCTGGTTCCGAAGAAAGGCTGGGAGCTTTCGCCCTGAAGCCTTAATCACAACACCTCAGGCGCTGCATATCCCTGCGCCCCCCAAGGTGCTGCCTCGCGGGACAAGGTGATCAGCTTTCTCGCAGCTGTTCACTCGTCCACTTCGCCAGCGCTGGTGATGCCGGCGGCGCCGTGAAGTTCACAGCAGTCTCACAAGAACGGCCTGACGGGGGTTTGTCGAGCCGAAGCATCCGGGGAAAGAGATCACCGCTCGACCGCTGAGAGGATGAGAGAGAGCAGAGGATGAGAGAGAGGAGAGTCCTAGACCCCCCCCCATGTCGGCAAGCCAGCGCTAATAGGCAGCAACCTATTTCTCGACCCCCACCCCCCATCGAGGACCCCCCCCCACATAAGGAGGGGGCATCTAAACCCTAAACCCCTAAACATCGTGTACCAAGCCGCAATCGGAGGCCGGCCAGACCATCGTGTCTCAGGGAGAGGCGTTCCTGCTCAATAGTTTTCGTCGTAGAGTCGAAGGTTTAGGGATTTAGGGTTTTAGGGTTTAGGTTTTTAGGGGTTTAGGTGATTTATGGTTTAGTGAAGTGTTTAGGGATTTGGGGTCGTGGGGATTTAAGGATTCAGGGTTTAGGTATTTAGGGTTTATGGATGTAGGGCTTAGGGCTTAGGTCTCAGGAGTAGGGTTTTAGGGTTGCTGCAGAATCTAAGGTTTAGGAGTTTAAGGTTTTAGGGCCCAGGAAAGGTTGCGGCAAGGGATAATTTCCTAAGCTCTAAACCCAAAGCTCTATACCCTAAGCCCTAGTCCGAAGCCCTAAACCTTAAAACCCGAATTTGAAGAGATACTGCAAGGCTATGCGGCTTCTTGTCAGGGCTTCGGGCTGTAGGGCTTCAGGGTACCCAGAGAACCCAATACTCCTGAAGTAAGGAAAAATTCTTCAAATCATAATATTAAGGCCCCTTTAATTTGAGGTATATTCCTTAATTGAAGGGTACTTGGATCTCTGGGTGCAGGGTTTTAGGCTTTGCTGAATCATTATCCGTGCGAATTAATACCTTGAATGGCAAACCCCGAATCCTGAGTCCCAAACCCTGAAGTCTACACCCCTAAATCCTGAACCCCAAGCCCTACACCCCTAAACCCCTGAAGCCCTAAACCCTAGAAGCCCCAAACCCCCCAAAAGCAAGCCTTATGCCCTGGATTCTAACTCCAGGAGCCTCATCCCTGTAGAGATGACCCCCAGTTTAAAGAAATACTTAAGCCGTTTCAAGCCCTAAGCCAAAAAAACCTAAGCCCTAAGCCTTAAGCCGTAAATCCTAAACCCTAAACCCTAAACCCTAAACCCTACCTTGGAACCAGGAAGGCAACGAGTTCTTTATCCTTTTCGCTGGGCGCCAGGAGCTTGGAACGACTGGGCTAGGTTTTGGTTTCGGGTATCCGTTGAAGGTCAGGGGTTCGGCGTTCTTGGTTTTGGG